TAATAATTCTACAACCCTCGGGATGCCTGTAGACTGTACGAGAAAACTAAAAATGCTTTCTCTTTTCTCTGACTGTATTTAACCACAATGAACTTAAAAATAGCTTTCGACAGTCAAAGGATACCCTGGATTAGATAAACGCAAGGCATGAGTATGCATCACATACCACCCTGGTTGTCACAGTAATTCTGTTATCAAGTATTTGTAGTCATATTTATACGTTTTTCTCTAACCAATCTATAAAATAAATGTTCCTGTACTTTTTGATGATAAAGTAAAGTGAGAACATAGGTACAGATTTTGAAGAAAAAACCTTGAGTGCAAAATTACTGTTAATTACTGGCTCCGACTGGGTGACTTATGGCCACTCGTTGATTCACATTATCAATCACATTTAACAAAATATTCTCACATAAAAATAACTAAAATACTGCAGAGAACTGACATATTAAATAACTTTGGTAACAAAGTGAACCGTATCATAGAATAAATAATCATGCTTTAAGGTTTTAACCAAACCTCAACCATGGCAGACACTGGTTATATATATTTTGTGCCTTTGTCAAAAGTAGAAAGCATATGTACTGCAAACATCTCTTAGTTGTACATAGTCGTCAGGAGGAAAGTAGCAAGCATAAGAATCTGAAGACTAAGAGATGTACAAAATCAGAAAACTTTACCAGACTAGACCAGTAATAGCCAGAATAATAGTTTTTAGATTTGGAATACTTTTCCATACATTTGCATCATACTTCATGTACAATAATTGAGTTCTTTAACTTACTGAAGCAGTATATTAAAATGCCCTGATAGTTGAACTTTCACTTCCATATGATGGAAAACACAAAATAATATACCAATCACACATGTTCATTTTTGGCAAACAGCTCTCAACACACATAAATACAATTTTTACCCAATCTCTCTCATATCTCGTATATTTCAGATTAAATAAGGAATGATGCTGCAGCTGCATTTTTTGGAGAATGAAATAGAGAGATAAATCTTACCACATAACAAGATAATTGCCAACATATAAAATGGACACAAGGAACAAATTCACACCGGAGAATTGACTGTCTCAGAGAAAGCAGAAGTCAAGTGGTTAGTGATAACATCGAAGCCTTCTTGAAAGGGCTTCATCCTGAGCCGGTAAAAAAAAAGAAGTATTTGGCAATGAGCAAAATTGAAGTGATTCTCCCAATGAAAATTTCCGATTTCTGCCCATCGATGCTCATTGTTTTATCAGAGCAGATTCCACTTGCAAAAAGGTAACTAAATGCCCATATCAATAACTCTCTTCATAAACGGAAGAAACAAGTAACGTAAAAAGCTCTTTTCTCTACTATAAACGTAGCCACTGAGCACAATTGGTCATGCTATTCTAACTATTTCACTGAATAGGAAATAATCATGAATAAGTCTTTGGAACGAAACATATATCTACATGTAACCACATAATCACTTGGTATATATATATACAGTATATATCTATATATATAAAACTAGCTTTTTAGCATTACACTTAACTGGCAAATCAGTATATCAGAAAATAAGTTACACAGAAAGAAATTTTACACAGAAAGTGTAGTGTGAAATGGGTCACAATTTCATGAATACGTGTAATATTTGTGTAGAAAAAAATCATTAGCTATATACTCCAGCATCATTGTCAACCTTGATATAACAAATATAATTGCTTTCTGTCTCACATGATATCTTGGAAGTCTTTAGTCTGCTTCAGTTGGTGTTGGCGGCGGCGCAGATCTCTTGCTCCGAGTTGGCTTTCTTTTCGGAAACAAGGTTGGTGATCTTGTTCCTTTTCCCGTCACTGTTGGCTCGAACAAGGACATTCCTTGGCGTTGATTTACCCTTTTCACTGCTGGCTCGAGCAAGAAGGTTCTTTGTTCTAGCACTTGGTTCTCCTTGCTCCGCCACAGCAACTGCATTACTATTTTTCACCTGGCTGCTCTGTGTCTCACCACTCGAGTTCATAAGAGCATTAGTTGATTTCGTGGCTGGTTCATCGCTCCCGGAGCGTACAATGAAGTTTCTGACAAAATTAGTTTGATCTACACTGCAAGCTCTGACTAACAAGCCTCTCTTCACAGTTCCCTGTTCTTCACTCTTCGCCTTCACCAGCGGGTTCCTCTTCGTCAGGCTCTTCCCGTCGAACTTGGGCAAGCACATGAAGTCCCTCCTGCTGTTGTTCCTTTCTGAAACAGGAGAGTCTTGCTTGGTTTGGTCCCTGTCTCTCTTCTTCCTCCCCAGCTGGTTCAAGACGCGACGAATAAAGGCAGTGGGCCCGGCGGAGGTTCTGCTAACATCTGGCGAGTCAGCAGAGGGAGGCGAGGGTCACCAAGCGTCTGTGTACCGGACGTCCACCTCCTGGAGGGCTGGCAGCGTCTCCTTCAGGGTCTCGAAAGTTTGCAAGGAGAGATTCGTGCTGTTGAGGTTCAGTTTTCGCAAACTCTTGATGGCTGTTGGGAGAGGAAGCTCG